CTTAGTTTTCTGTTCCTATGTTTATTGTTTTATTTATATTTTAAAAAAGTGTCTTTGTAATTCAGTAACTTCATATATAAATATAATAATTTTCGACTGTTGATGCATGAATGAAAAAAAATTTGTGTCCCTCATGTAATATGGCATTTTATTATGGCTACATTTCTTTATTTCACCCCAAATTTCACATCATTACAACTCAATCCACATTCATGTTCGTTCATAGAATGTGCGATTTATCATCTCCGCCTCCACCGACTCACTTGTGGCACAACTCCTGGCAGCTCGGCCTGACTGTCTAGCAGGGGCCGGATTGTGTGAACTTTCCTTAGCCGAAAGAAAGGCAGCTGTCCGCAGTCTTTTTGGACGCTTCGGAAAGACCCTGGATGAAACTGGCTTTAGAAATCAGGTGAATTATAGGTTAAATCCGCATAAACTGTTATTTGATAACCTCAGACATGTCACTGATAATCGTCTTTAACGTCCCTGCTGTGTCTAGCAATAATCGAAGTGGCTATAAGAATGACTTCTTTGGAGGTTTTCATAGCGTATTTGAATGATGATGATGATGTAGATGAGCTTATAATAATGTTTAGTATACTGTTAATAGTATTTCTTACAACGACATAAGAATGGAGAAGGCTCAAACAAGATCTAGATTTCCTACATGGTGATGTTATTGACAAGAAATATAGATGGATATCTAAAAAAGATCAATCTATTTTAACAATGAACTTTTTCTTTGCTCTTCATCACTTATGCTCCAACTTGCCACATGGCTTATTCAGCAGGCATTCAAATGCAATTCAACTTTACAAATAAAGAGATGGTAGAAAATGTTAAGCTTTCGCGTATCGAATCTCAGCAGTTGACCCACCCAATGAAGTAAATGCAATGCAAGAGGAAATTTGACATAATAGAGAATATGAACGGTGGTTAGCATACAAAAAATGTGTTGGAGTACCTTTAATGCTGTTTGAAGAGCCAGGCAGAAGAGATTCGTAAGGTTGTCTTACCGGAAGTCAAAATGGGTTTGCCCTGCATTCCAGTTAAAAAGTGAAGTGGCTGCAGCTGAGGTAATGTTGCCGCATCTGATTGCAGCCCTTGGCAAATGTGTGCATGCAATGCTCGTGAGGCGCGTGGGGTTTGAGAATGAAAATCAGATTTGGCGCTAATTAAGCCTCATCCTCTTGCCCGGCGGTACTTCTTGTTCCCTCTCTATCTCTCTCTAATTCTAGCCAACAACCACAAGTGGCTTCCACTTAATTTCCTACATTCCTTCCTTTTATTCAGGGTGTTGGTTGTATTGTTGATTTCTTCAACCTTCCTAATCTCCAACTAAGCAGTTGACATTAGACAAGTCTATGAGTTGTATTCACCCTATCTCCTTTAAGGTGATAAAAGACTGATAGTTGCTTTTTCCCATAATGATATGAATAGAGCTGTTGTTTTTCATTCAATTTTACATAGCCTTGCTTTCCCAAAAGGTGTCATCATCCAGGGTCTAGGTCTTATCAACACTTCCAGCGGGAGTCGAACCATGACATTGTAACGTGTAAACTCGGCACGTTAACCAGCCTGCCACAATGTCACAAGGGGCCTTAGAAACGTCAGCTCTACTCATATCAGTGTGGTAAAATTCAACTTCCAGTCCTTCATCACTTTAACCGAAATAGAGTGAACACAATTCATATATCTGATTTACTGGTGTTCTCGGAAACGTACTAATTTACAAAACTAGACAACTCTTTCTTGTGTCCTGTGCTAGCCATGTGTTGGGCCAATTCCAATTTCTGGGCCCACAAACCTTTGAAGGCTTTCTTATGTATGATTTGGCAAGTCTTCCTTACAAAGTCTCTACCACATGAACACAAAACCTTATAGCAAACAGCCTGATTTGGAGAGAGGGTCTAAAACATTGCAATATAAGTGATTTATGGGAGAAGGCAGCCGTTTGATCACAATTTCATCCGTTTTACGATTCATCTGTATCCACTTCACTTTTAAACAGCATTTAGTAACGGCGTAGAATATCCACAAATATCCTGAGATGTCTTACTAAATAAAAATAACTAGGCTATACAAAGTAGGTAGGATTGCAACTGCCTACATCCCCCCACCGGGCTGGTAGTCTTGATCCAAGACAGCAGTATAGTCAGCAATCCTCTTCCTTCCGGTCCTCTTACTGTGGTACTAAGAATGGTAAGGCTCACTGACTATGTCGACTACGATGCCGGCGAGACGTCTGGGAATGTATCAAGTCCACGGTCCGACTCTGGAAAGTATTTGCATACTATGGGCTCCGAACCAGGTGTGTTACTTTAGGTTTTCCTGCCAATATGACCAAGTTGAGCAAACAAGGTCAAACAACCTCTTTACAACGAAAGGAGAGCGTGAGTATACTGGATGCCAAACCATTTTGGTTTTCATACAGTCCCTTTTATTATTTGAGCCGTCGAGAGACAGGAGCTTTCCTTTGATAGCTCTAACTGCAGCGGAATTTAATTCCTGATATTTAAGTCCTGTGAAAAGGCGATTCAGGTATTTGTTATTGTTCTTCAAAAGCTGAGAAGTACATTTCGCAAAATGTCTACCAGCCTTGGACTTGAGTGCTTTTGGAAGTTCCGGATGTTCAAGAATAAATCAGGATTTGAACGCAAATGTCGGGACGATTGTTTTCTAGACAGAAAAGAAAAATATTATCTTACATCTGTAAGTCACTACAAAAATCTCAACTTGTATGCTATAAGGAGACTAGCTATACCGAAAAATACGGGTTCCTACTCCAATTCAGATTCTTATATTGCTGCGGTTAAGATACTTTTGGGCATAAAAATACAATCTTCATGCACTCTTCACGAGTGACCATGATATCAGATTTTTACCCCCATATGCACGTATGATAAATTTTTTACTATTGCTTTTTTCTTAGGCCTAGGCATTTCTGCTCAAGTAATCTTGGTTCCCTTTAACATTTTGAACTGCAGAATACAGCGAATAGAGGGTAATCTTATTGTTAGTTGCTTTCAAAACGACGTTCTTATTCTGCACACAAAATGTTTACTGCCCTTGCAAAGAATTAAAAGAGCTCCCTACCCTAAAACTTTGAAACACATACAAAAACAGACGAAACAACCAAAAGTGAATGATGTGGAGAAAACATAGTTATGAGTAAGAAATAGTAATTCCTTTGCAGAACGATTAATGCCATAGTCCGGTTTTGTGATCCTATGCTTGATACTTGAACTGTCTACGATGAATTGAGGAGAAAACTTCACTGTACCGGTTATTTAGACTGTGTACAAATCTCGACTGTTCTTTATATTTGATTGAGATGTAGACCATTTCGAAAATGTGGTCAACCCCTAGTGGGTGATGCCTTGTGGCATATTTAGTGGATATTCATACTAAAAATCAAGCCTTCTCTTCAATTTATTGTGAATAAAGTCGTTATCAATTTATAATTGAGCTAGTAAAAACGTATACAACAATCCGATTACTAGTAGCTACACAACTGAGCTACTGCTGCAGCATTTATTTTAACCCAGCTTTTTCTGCAAAAACTTTGCATTCACTTATTCCCACCTTAAAAGTAATCAAAATAAAATTGTCTTCTCTACGTAGATATACATGTTCTGTTACTTCTTGGTATTCATTTACTAAATGTACTTGTGTTATGATCTGGCTTTAATCGCTTTATTGTATCTATATTGGCATTTTCGGAAAAATTCAATCTATCGGGGACGTAACGCAGGTCCAGAGGCATTTCGAATATTAGTGCAATCAAGGGAAACTTTCTAACTGGTCGGGATTCCTGTCACTAGTAAAAATATCCATAATCATACTGTCGATCTATTTAATTATTGTAAAGGTTTTCCTCTTTTTATGAACACTGGAGAATATTCAACTAGTATAAATAGACAACTATGACGTTAGTTATTGTTAAGAAATGTGAAAAAGGTAAAGATTCAATGACATTTTTTGCATTTGTTATGTGTTATGACGGAATAAGTGCAATTTATATGGTAAATATCGAAAAGTGCCGTGATGAACTTATTATGGAGAAGTTTTTATTTAGAGTAATGCTAAGGAATCTGGTAGAGGGATTCCCTACATAACAGTTAAATCTCATTCTTTGTTGGCCTAACGTTTGTTTGCTTCAAATTGTTTAAATAGCTTAACATTTTCTCACTTATTTTATTATGCTTGTATCTTTCAAAGTGGTCAAAATACGAGAGTACAGTCCAGTATACAACCTGATCAGGACTCTAAATTACGTTGCTGGGTTTAGATGCTATTGCTTTTATATGATTTGGTTTACTTATGAAGTATAAATACTACCGACTTCTCAATTTGGTACTAGTTTGCATTAAATACGTTGGCAGGATGAAATGTCCCTATTATTTGTGATTTTCACCATTAGGAATAGGCAAGCATTTAACTAAACTATCAAAAAATGTGAAATGGCAACGAAAGTGTAGGTGGTGAAAGAGTATTGAGTGTAGTGAGACAAATATGTCAAATGATATTATTGTCTTCACTTGAGGTCAGTTTTGTGCCACATTTAGGAGGAGTTTTCTGTTGTCCATTAAAAAAATTATATATTTTATACTTTCTTTAGAAATATTATCGACAATTAACATAAATATATATAACTTTTTTAATTATATTCAACATTTCACCTTCCAATCTTTGTTCCTAATACATCTTTTTTAATTATTATAGTTATTTTATCTTTTGCTATAAGTATTATAAGTACAAGTTAAAGTTTCATCTTTCATAATTCACTTTGTTCGTACACATTTCTTTTCAATCTCTTCAGATGTCTACGCTAGTGAATAAGTATGAGGCAAATATTCCACTTTACTTAAAATTGGCGTGTGAAGAGCTTCGTCTATTTGGCGTCTACGAACATGTGAGTATCTTATCAGCTACGTTACTTCCAGTTTTTATTTCGATACTTTACAAATAGGTTATTTATGACTGAATCTAACTGGCACTACTTGTATTAACAATAAAATGCAAAGCGAGCCAGGAAATAAGTGTGGCTGAAGTATATTGATAAATGTTAAATTACTTATAATTTATATTATCTGCATATATTTATATGGATTTTCTGAAAGATTTAAATTTAAATTGTATGTAAGAATTGATGCATCAATAGGACAGCTATAGTGATGCTACATTATTTAGGGATGAGAATAAATAAAGTGTAAATAGAATAGTTTTGCTCTATGTACAACTTTTATTCTACTGGGCTTTTTGCTAAATATCGTTTATCTGTCAATCGTATGCACTCGAGACTTCAATTTAGGTATTATCCTTTAAAAAGTGGAGTTTTTTTCTATTCCTGTGTATCTTTTACTTCCAGCTCGATTCTCAATTATCCAGTCTTCCCAACTATCTACCTGACCTAGTCCTTCACTGTTTTTCTCGATTGGAGGCCACTCATGGCAGTAAGCTAGTGAGGATAGCTCTTGCTTTTCTCCTCCTGACTCGGCGGCCATTGCATGCAGTCGAGTTACATCAGCTACTTGACTTCTGGCTTTCATCCTGCCAAGAAGCTGCCTCAGTAGCAACAGAGGTGGCCTCTAGTATTAAAAAATCCCCTGTCTTCGTTGATTTGTCACCGGCCGAGCTCAATCAACTATGCATGACTGGACAGTGGAATAATAGTGGCGAGCTGAGATATTTGCAACCAGTCACTCGTCCATGCATTCATTTGCCTAGCTTTATCTTTCAGCGTCTACTCTCCGATCTTTCGCCTTTGCTCGCGGGATTCTCTACAGACTCTTTCGACTTGCAAGACGATGGTTTTGGTGAAGCAGAAGAACGCAGCCATTCTGATCCTAAGGAAGAGGGAAGTCAGTCGACTGCCAAACGAGCCTTATCTACCGATGGCTGGCTACGTATCCGCAGTTCTGAAATCTCCCGAATCCTTCTTTTCTATATTTTACCCTCATCTATTTCTGCTTCCGCAGACCTGCTTTCGCTGCCAGCTTCCGTCAAGACAGGCATTCATCATCTTAAGCCTAGTCAGCGTCTCGGCTACATCCACCCGTCTGGTACAAGATTCTCTGGCTATCGCCAGACCCAAGGAAAGAGACCTCGCTTAGGCTTTGGTAGATCAGGTGTAAAGGAGGATTGCGATGAAATTTCCTCGGCAGCGATT